CACCTATTGCAAAGTTATCTTCATCGCATTCATTGCCATCATCAGCTGCTTCAGATAGAATTCGCTGCCTTCAGATTTTTCAGTGATGATATCATCATTCGTTTCCATTTCCTCATATTCCATCTTTAGTTTCTTCAATGTAGAACCGGTAAAGTAGGAACGACTCACAATCTTACCGTCACTTTTGTCTTTAACCTTTATCTTCTTCTTCCAAGATTCTTCTTTGGTTGTATCTTCTTCATCTTCATTTTCAAGTTCTGGTTGGTATTTTCGTTTTTTTATGGAGGTTTGCTTTAAATTTTTGGTAGCATTTTTAGATCTAATCTTGAAGGTATGCCTTGAGATCATAGCATTTACATATTCACGACTCATCTCCACATTTGCATCGAGAGAAAGATTCTTTCGACCCTCCATGGTTTGAACTTTTCGCAGCTTATTGTATCCTTCCACTCTCGAGTTACTCGCCCTTGGAACATCTTTAGGCAATGTTCTTCCGTTAATAAGCGGTAAGTAGCTAAGATATCGTTTTGTAACTTCTTCAGCAAACTCGGGAGCATAGTATATATTTGTTTGTGCTCCAACCTCACAAATTTCTTCAATGTTTTTCCTGCACACTTCTAGCATATTTGAGAATTCTTGATAGTAAGGACTTTGCCTGTAGAGGGTCTTCAATTCTTTTATAACCATGACTTCATCTTCCGTGTCTGTTGCAATCGTCTCAACAGATCTTTCAAAATCTTTTGGTTCGATGTCACACACTGATGCAAGTAATATTTTTAAGTGTTTCTTCATCTCGTCGTTTTCAGTTTTGGACAATAGGATGGGGTAAAAGTGATTCAAAATATCAACGCATTCGTCCATGCCTCGGGTGTCGATGATTTTTGCAAAAATTTCCTTCACAAACTTGCGTCCTTTCTTATTTTTTACAGTCTTTGTTCCCAATTCACAGACGTTCTTCATGACATGAGCACAGCAGAGATTAAGATGCACCAATGATTTATTGACATCCCTATTTCCCAAATCGATGTCGTAGCAGTAATTAAGGTATTGCAGTACACTCAGATTTGAAAAACTGCCCAGAACAGCCTTCACCATGGCCCAGCTGAAGTCCGTGACTACATTAGAAAATATTCTTCCTTTCAATTTATACTTGTATGTCCAATCGTAATTCAGCTTCCTCAATGCTTCGCCAATCGAAATATAATCATGGTTTTCCGAAAAAAGTTCCATAACTGGCACAATTTTATTCTTGTAATCGTAAACGAGGGCATAGTAGAGGACGGTTTTTTCACCCATTTTTGCGCAGACACTGCCTGTTGCGTCAAAGTAGCCCATGTTTTCTTCACTTTCTTTCAACATCAGTAATTGATCTTTGCTGTACATAATGCAGGAAAGTGGAACGGAGAGTTTTTGTAGAAACCTCATGCCAGACCCATTCATTTCATCCAAAATTTCATTTTCTAGCTTCATTTTGACACTCAAATAGTCGTCTTTATCTAGAGACTTTGACTTCATGATCGTCAGATCACTTTTGGCTTTCCTGTAGACATCATCAGAAAAAATGCCTTGAAGATATCCTTTTTTGACAATAACTTTGTTTGCTTCATTGATGCGCGCAATCGCGACATTCTGTGGTGAGTTATGTTCCAAACATTTCATCAAATTATCGCGTGCAAGTCCTCTGCACTGTCTTGCTAGTGGCTCATCACCGTGATTGAATATTCTTGTGTTGGTAAGAAGATGAAAGTTGACGTCCATATGCAGTTTTGGAGGATCTAGGAGCCTTAAGACGTACTTGCAAGGGCATTCGAAGTGTTTGCAGAAGAAAAAAATATCTAGATACCTCGTTTTTCTGAAGTATTGTTTTCCACGCACAGTTAAAACACATCCAATTTCAAATTTATTTACAATCTTTTCAATTGCCATCGTAGGGTAAATTCTGCTGTCCAAATCCTTTGTGTCTTGATGATGCATACGTGTCCACTCAGTGCTGGAGAAAATTACTTGACCAAATTGAAGAGTGCAATCTGTAAAACTACTAGGGCGTACTTTCTGAAGGTACTCATTATTGATACTCTCTTCAGTGGGTTTCTTAGTTGTTTTTTCAGGTTCCGCATTCTTCATTTCTATATCCCGCTGATTGACTTCAAACGTATTTTTGCATCCTAATCTTTCTTTAATGTTTATGGCATTCGGTTTTCCTTCAAAATCTTCTCGCCATTTGCGGAATGCATGAACACTCCCATTGCGCTTCATGACTTCCATTGCCTGAAATCCAGGCTTTAGAAAATCAGAAATGAAGAAATCATCATCCTTCATGTGATCAAATTTGTGTCTAGCGTATTCAAAATTTCCAGTATTGAAAATTGTAAAATTCAATGCACTGATCAAGTGAAACGTATCAACGCACCTCTTGCCGCAACCCGCAATGTCGATATCCGGACCTTCTTCATAAATCGCAAATTTTTCCACAAATTTGTTGTTCACAATCAGCAATTTTTGTTGATGCTCTGGCATTTCCTGGTTTGAAGAATTAATTTTTACCAGGTGCAGCACTTGAGTGAATCTTTCTTGCTGGAATTTAAAGTCTTCCCGGCTTTGGGGTATTATAAGGCCGAATTCACAAGGGTTCACAATGTTCAGATCCCACTCTTGCTGTTCACACTCATTATCTGGAATTTGCTGATTCATATCAAATTCTGTATTCTCATTCTGGTGTTTGACTGATTGTGATTTAGCTATTTGTTCCAATTTGAAATCTTCAATTAAGTTGACAGTCCGCATTTTTTTGCCTTTGTAGGAAGTGTTAGCACCTTCGCTTGATACTTCATTTGTTGCTCTATGACGTTCACGAATATTATTAGCTGATCTGTTATTTTGCAAAGCTTCCATTTCACATTTAGCGGTAAATGTCATCTTCCATTTATGCAGAGAATCCTTATATCTTTTACCTTTCCTACTCTCCAGCTCTCTGGCATGGAAGCCTTCTTCTAGAACTTCATACACAAAAGTGAGGTCATCCTCTTCATTACGATACATCTCGAGCTTGTTCTTTGCTTCAGTTTTGGACATCATAAAAATATTCAAAGTGATAACACTGACCAGGTAGGACATGAATGTACAATCTTTAGCACACTTCTCTCTTGGTGTGAGTTCTCCACGAAGATCTGTGATGCGCACTACTTCCCTAAACTTTTGATCATATTGCTCATCAATGGCTTTCAGGCCGATATTTCGAACCTTTCCTTTGTCCATTTGTTTGTATTCATCGGGTTTCAATTTCTTCCCGATTTTTTCAAGAGCATAGTCAAATTCTTTCTTCATTTGGTAAAACTCTTGCATGTTTTGAGGGATTCTGATAGGTAATTTGCATGGTAGGAGGATTTCATCACCTGCAACTTCGACGTCTTCCGGAGGTTCAGGATGTTTGGTACTATTCGACTCCTGTTCACAATTCTGTGCAGCAACAGGACTGCTTCTCGATGAAATATTCAATTCCAAATTTTTCTCTTGAGGCTTCGCTTCCACTGCATTCAAATCTTCCGGTTCAAGTTCATCCTGTTTTTCTTCATATACACTTAATTCATGATGATCAGAATCATCATCTTCCATTTCATTCCCTTCATCAGCTTGTTCTGCCTGCTCCCGGATTCTTTGAAACTCCTGATCGATGCTAACCAAGTTTTTCTGGATGTATCTATAGGCGATGTTCCTTGCTTTGTTGCTTGACGTCTTTATCTTGACATCTTCTAACCAGATTGCAATGGAAGCAATTGGTGAACCTTCTTTTTTCCCTTCTGAAAGTAAGCTTGCGGCGTTTGTTGCTGATGTTTGACTGATGGCAATTTCAACAACTTTTTGCGGAGTCAAGGTATTCTTAAAACCTTCTTTCCTGAAGCCTTTCTTCTTCACACATTCTGGAAATTGTGAAAAATATTATGTACCTGTATTTAACTATCACAATTGACAAAGCTGCAGTTGTGGAATCCCTGCAGACAGCACAACTTAGATAAACGACATTCTGTGTGGCCAGCACTACTTTTACCACAATAGTGCCTTGTAGACTGGAAACGAATCAATCGAACTGATTACATTGTTAGAGAAACACGCCAGAAAGAAAGGAAATTGTAGTTAGCTAGGAGCTTGCTGGTAAAATAAAAAAATCATAAAATAGCCATAATTGAGTGACGCCTTCTGCGCCACTAAAAAAATAGCACGGGCCGCCAAGACTCTATCTTGCCTCTTCTAGCCTGAATTTAAAAAAAAGCTATCTCTTTCGACACTGCAGATAATATTGTCTTTAACCTGAACCATTCACCATTATTGGAGAGCTAGTGATTCAAAGTCAAGATTAGCTACTTACGCCGGTTCATAGTGGCATAATAAATATTTGTTTTCCAATTATGGAACTAATATCATACTTTATCTCGCAAATTTCCATATTTATCTTTCTTTGAGCATTTAAATCGTGAAATAGTATATAATTAACACTCTATGTTTTTTAGTTTTGTGATGTACGAGGCAGGTACATTAAGGAAAATTTTATAATTTCGATATCTATTGCGCTGAAAAATGTTTCTCTATTCCTTATTCCATAAATTACCATCGATGCGCATACTTTCAGCGCTCCAACAACTTGTTACAATTGAAATGTGCTTTAGTTGTCTGTTAATGTTTACTTTTGTTAGGGTGATAGGGTGTGGGTGTATTTATGATTTACCCAAGGAGGATTTACCATTTTCTATCCCCTCCCGCTTTTCTCCTCTTACCCCCACCACAGACAAGAAAGTTTCCCTAAATGCAATTTTCAAATCGATTTTCGATACCTCCGCCCGAACGACGCGAGCGGCCAATTTCCAGCCAACTGGCTAACTTCCGACAACTGGCTAGAATTTCTGGCTAACTTCACGATGCTCTCTACGAGCATGAGATTTAAATTTTCGCGGTCAATAAAATGGCTGTTCAAGCGAATCCTTTTTGCCGATTTATTTCAGCCACACTTCAGTGGGCGCGCTTTTGTTTACATTCGTGCGGAATTACCTTTTTATTTTACGCGACAGCAACACACACGCAGCTTTGATGACCTCTTTTGCCTTATTTGTCACATGAAGGCGTATATGAGAAGAACAAAGGCGCGCCTGCATCTGTTGCTCAATTGATGGCGAGCTAAAATCAGCTAAAATCAAATTGGGCAAACCATCGTTATCAAGGACGTTTGCCTCTTATCAGAGATCCTGCTATCAATTTGATCGCCCCCATTCGAGCTGCATTATTATTCCCTGAACGAAACACAATGGTACGTATAATTACATCAAGTGGCTCGGCACGCAGGCCATCAAAGAGCACGGAAGCATCTCTCACAAGGCAGTCACTAATAAAACACTTTCGGTTATATAAGGTTGTGACAGAGGAAAGTAAAAGTGCGGCTGGAATGGACAAAGAAAATCAGCCAAGTCAGAAAAAGGGCAGCTCGAAGAGCAAAGTAAGGGCTCCTCCTAACAGAAAATCACCTGCTCTTCTTGCAGCAATGCGACAGGCTAAGCAAGCCCACAAAAAGACCAGCCCGAAAGATACCCTTGTCCTCAATCCCTTCCAAGTTGTATGTATAATTCATAATGAATTACATTACAAATAATTATGAGTTAATATAATTAAAAATTATTATTATGAATTAAAATTAAATTTACACAACGATCCTTTATATTATTTTTTAATTTAAATACTTTTTAGGCTGAAGATGCAAAAAATGTAGTTCAAGGCCCTACAGCTATGATAACTGAACCCAGGATGGCAGAGCATTTTTGCTTTTGGGATAAGGGCTATCCTGAGTGTCCAGAACGTCTGACACAAACTGTTGAGAGGTCAGTTATCTGAAGTAATTGTCCTTAACAGTCCTTAATAGTTTTAAACCATTTGTTTTAGATGCAAAGAACTGGCATTAGTTGATAGATGCCTCTCATTGGAACCTTACTCTGCAACACATGAAGATGTCCTTGCCATACACACTGAAAAACTTATTAATCTTTTAAAGTCAACCGACAAAAGCAAAAACTGGGATGAACTGGAGGAAATATCTTCAAAATACGATGCAGTTTATATCCATCCAGTAATTATTTGAATTTTTCTTTTCGATCTTAAAACTAAAAATAATATTTTATTTGCTCAGGTCACCTATGAAATGGCATTTCTTGCTGCTGGCTCGGCTACAAAACTAGTTGAAACTATTTGCAAAGGGGAGGCGCAGAATGGCATGGCTTTAATTAGGTGAAGTTAAAATTAAATCTAAATAGTAACATTTTTGTTAATCTGAATTTTATGTTTAGACCACCTGGTCATCATGCAATGGAGGATGCATTCTGCGGCTACTGCTTCTTCAACAACGTTGCCGTTGCTGCTCGAAAAGCTTTGGACAATGGTTGGGCAAAGCGGATCCTGATTGTTGACTGGGACGTACACCATGGCCAGGCCACCCAGCAGCAGTTCTTCAATGACCATAGAGTCCTTTATTTCTCAGTCCACCGTTTTGAGAATGGGGAGTTTTGGCCAAACCTGAAAGAATCCGATTTCAACTTTGTCGGTGCTGGCTCTGGAGCCGGCTGCAATGCAAATGTTCCATTAAACAAAACAGGAATGGGTGATGCTGACTACTTGGCCATTTTCCAATACTTGCTGCTTCCACTGGCACATCAGGTTTGACTAAAATATACTTCAAATGTCTTACCATACATTAATTTTAGGCTGCTAAAAGTTAATTTCAAATGAAATTTGCAAACTTTGAAATTTAATGTTTCAATTTTTAGCATGGATTTTTATCGATTCAAAGTATGGGGCTTTGTAAGTTGCCATAACGTCACACCTAAAATTTATTATATTTTCATGTTTGGTTATGTTTTTTTAAATCAGTTTCAGCCTGATTTAGTTCTCGTTTCTGCTGGCTATGACGCTGCAGTTGGATGTCCAGAGGTGCGATGAGTGAATATTCATTCAAGCACCTAGAATTTTGGCATTTTTTTTTTTACTTTCAAAATTGATACCTTTTAAATTTGAAATCCCTCCTTGCTTAAATTTGCTTTGTTTAATCTTTTATACAATTAATAATAAATTTTTTGTGTTCAATTTTAATTTCATTATAAGATCATTCCTTCAGTTTGTGCCAGATCTTGTTTTGGTTTCTGCTGGTTACGACTCAGCCCTAGGCGATGAAAAGGTACATTATTTGCCAAATTCTAGGATGCTTAAAAAGAAATAAAAGTGAATTGTAAAACTTAAAAATGTTTAAACTTCACTTTTGTAGGGAGAGATGAACTTGACGCCTGCGCTCTATGCCCATCTTACAAATCTTCTGTCTGTGCTTGCAAATGGAAAGCTGGCAATTCTGATGGAAGTGAGTTGTTATAGTGTTTTTTGATACTCGGAGAAATAATTGTCATGCTAATGCATAGGGAGGCTACTGTTTGCGGTCACTTGCAGAGTCGGCTGCTCATACTTTGAGAGCTCTCCTTGGTGATCCATGCCAACCCCTGGGTAACCTTCCAGCCCCATCTGAAAGTATATGCGAGTCAATTGTCAACACGCTGTACTGCCTACGACCTTTCTGGGATGCTTTTAAGCACCACCCAACAGTCAAGGACGAGAGAGCTAACGAAATGAAAATCCACTTTCCCGAAGTAATCTGGAAAGGACCTAATGAGCCCCCAGCAACGGTTTTTGCAACTAGAGATTGCTATCCCATCCAGAGTGAAGAGTTCAAGTCGTCCGTCAATGCTAGGCTTGACTCATTAATCTCTGGTTTGTGTATCGATAACATGCATTAAGCAAAGTCATAATCAAACACAAATTGCAGGCTACAACCTCAATGCAGCTCCCCATAAACTTGGATTGATCTACTGCGAGACAATGATGCAACATGCTAACGAAGGCCAATCCACCCATGTTGAAAGTCCCAAGCGAATTTCAGCAATTTTTGAACGGCACAAGGAATATGAATTGCTGGACAGATGTCACATCTTAAAGGTAAATAATTGCTTTCTTAATACTTAAAGTAATTTATCCTGTCGATTTGAAGCCTGCCAAAATAACTAGAGACAAACTCATCAAAGTGCATTCCGAAAGCCATGTTGAGAGCATGCGGAGAACTAGCGAGAAGTCATTTCCTGAACTTGCTGATTTTGCCCAGTCATTTAATTCCATCTACTTCAACAAAGATACTTACAAATGTGCTGAATTGGCAGCAGGATGTGTTGTCAAGGCAAGACTTCAAGGATCAAGAAATTCAATTCTTATTCAATCTATTTCTTCTCTCAGGCTGTTGATTCTGTGATGCAAGGTGAATGTAGGGCAGCAGCAGCCATTGTCCGCCCGCCAGGCCACCACGCAGGCACTTCTTTGCCATGTGGCTTTTGTATCTTCAACAATGTCGCCGTTGCAGCCCAACATGCATTGGACAACTATAATCTGGAAAGGTTAGATTTGACAAGGTACATAATACAATTGTTGCTTATTTTAATTTCATAGAATTCTGCTTGTTGATTGGGATGTGCATCATGGCAACGGTACACAGGAAATGTTCAAGAAAGATCCTCGTGTCTTGTATGTGTCAATGCACCGCTACGACAACGGCACATTCTTTCCAGCAAATATATCTACACAAGAAGCTGAGGCAGCTAATGCTGATTATGTAGGCAGTGGATTGGGTGAAGGATATTGCGTCAATGTGCCTTGGAACAAGGTTTTAACTGCTAGATTATTTTAATAACGAGACTAACTTATCAGTTACTTCTGTTGCAGAAAGGGATGGGTGATGCTGAGTACTTAGCTGCATTTTTGCAGGTTGTGCTTCCAATTTCTTACCAGTTCAATCCGCAGCTTGTTCTCATCTCTGCTGGTTTTGATGCAGCTATTGATGATCCTCTTGGAGGCAAGTATTTTTTTTTAAGTGTAATAGGAGAAAAGTTATTTATTAAACTTGCAGGTTGCAAGGTAAGCCCTGAGATGTATGGGCTCATGACTCGATGGTTGCAAGGATTAGCTGGAGGAAAAGTTGTCATGGCTCTCGAAGGGGGATATAATGTGACCAGCATCTCCTATGGATTCACAATGTGCAGCAAAGCTTTGCTAGGAGACCCAATCGCACCAATGACGGCCACTAGAGCTACTCCCAGCTCCAGTGCAATTTCCAGCATTAGAAAAACCCAACTGGCCCACAGTCGCTTCTGGTCTTGCCTTGGTTTCTTTAATTATTGTCTGCCATATCGAGATGGGGAGGTTGTCATGGGAAGGTAAATTTTAATTTTTTTTTTTTTTTTGATATTGTAATCAGGCAAATTTTCTTAGCTATGATGCTAAAACAGATGTAGATGAACTAGATCAGGCATTGTCAAGCCTGAGTCTTTCCTCGTCCATTTCACCAGGAGTGTCTTCCACCCAGTCTCCAGTTGATTCAGACAAGCCAGGAATCTCGGAGGCAAGCACCTCTCAAGGAATTTCTTCTAGCGCAGCATCTTCTCCTGATGGAGAAACAATTAGGCATGATTCCACTGATAAGGCTCCAGTTCAGACCCTGGAAGACTATTTGCGAGAGCTGCAATCTGTAAGATCTGTAGACTTGGCTTATACTTTACTTTGACTGACTGATTGAAATTTTAGCAGGGAGATGAGTTTAGTCTTGTTGTACCAATTTCCGACTGTCCTCATTTGGACCGAGTTGAGCCTCTGCCTGAGAACGGCTTAGATATCAATCAAAATTGTGGCGCATGCGAAAAGGAAAACCACGCAGAAAACTGGGTGTGCTTGACTTGTTATGAAGTAAAAACAAATCTGTGTAATTATATTTAATTTTAAATGCAATTTAAATAACAGGTCATGTGCGGAAGATACATTTGTGGGCACATGAAAATGCATAGTGAGCAGCACTCACACCCTTTGGTTTTGAGCTACTCTGACCTCTCTGTGTGGTGCTATGGGTGCGAGAGCTATGTTGATGCACCGGTAAGTTTAAGACATTTCATTGAATTGATTTTTTATTTATTTTTTAATCATTGTTCTAGGCACTGCACGAAGCAAAAAATATTGCTCACATTGCCAAGTTTGGAACAGAGAAGCCGTGGACATATGGAGAAATCAAAATGGTTTGATGAAAGCTTAAAAGTTGTTTTACTAAACCCAGCTATGCAGCAACTTGTTTAGTTTTACCAAAGCTAATGACATACCTCGCATTGCCTTGCAAAAATATAGGAATGCCTAATTTGCATGACAAAAAAATTCCATGAAGTATACATTTTGTGTACTTCTTATGACAATTTCAACTAATTTGCTTTTAAAACGTACCACAGTAGCATGTTAGCACACAAATTTCACTGTGCCTTATTCAGCAGAAAATTAATGTATGTATTTTTGCAGTCTCATATAAAAGTCTTAACTCCTAATGCTCAACATGTGGACCAATAGGGATTTTTGCCATTAAAATAATATAATAGAATTAGCTTCCAGAAATTAAAAACTTTCTGTGATTGGTGATTCTGTGTGCATGTACCAAAATAATGTCTTATTTTTCATGATTTCATTGGATAACATAATAAATTATTTGAATAAACTTAACTTATATTTTTATTTAAAAAGCCATGATAATTCAGTCGCAAATAATTGTAGATTAAGGGCAACAAATATAATATAACATGACAGTACAATTATTGTTCCAAAAGCTCTACTTCAGTCAAAATCAGTCCCAGTTGTGCCATAGTCTTTGTAAATGATGAAACAAGGTTTCCACTAGCAGCTCTTTTCCATTGAGGCATGGCTTCAGTGCTCAGGTGTGGATAGAATCTTATTCGATGTGGCTTTTGGGTCATGTTGTACTTCCGAAGAGCGCCTTCAAATTTATGATCTACAGTGCCTGGGAAGGCACAAAATACACGACATTTGAGTCGGTGGTTTTTCCAGTCCTTTTTACACTGCTGCAACACTTTGTGAGCCTTTTTAACACCAACTTCCTTGCCAGACAATCCTGTCTCGTGAACATGGAAGCGTCTTGTTATTTTGTAGCGCCTTCCATTGGGAGTTACATAAACTTTAGCAGGACTAGGGACCAGCATTGGAAATCTGAAAGTAGCATAATATAAAAATATTTATCAAAACATTATTAAATTATTCAAACCTGGGTACAATGTAAATTTGGCTAGTGACTAGATGTACCGCATTGAGTGGCTTTGGATGTGCTAGGCCAGAGTCCCTTAGGTGGCTGGCCAAAAACCACACTCCCCCTTGGTGAAAGAAACCAAAGAACAGTACAGCCAGGGCGTTGAGCACATACCAGGATTTCTTCAGCCACTTGCGGTAATTCAGGATGAACTGGGCGTGCAGAAATGTAAGGGGTATCACAAGGGGCAATAAAAAACGGGGCTCTTGGTGAGGGAAAATGGACAAGGCCAGTAAGGGGACAATAAAGCTGGCGTTCATAAGAGAGGTAACTGACTGGGCTTTTGGAAGCTGGGACCATTTCCTCATTATCGCGAATCTTCCAATTTTCACAACACCCATGTATCCAGCTATGCCTAGCATTCCGAACATCAAAGGTACGTTTACCACCAGGTGAAGCCATCGTGGGTGCAGGCCATGGTTTTTTAAATTTGACGTTTGGGAATTGTACCTAAAATAAAATTTAAAAAAAGTATTCATGCTTTTTGTCTTGAGCATAAAAATAATTTCTTACATAAGAAAATTTAGAGGAGTCACAACAAAATTTGAGCCCAAAGATATTTTGGAATTTGAAAGCTCAGCGAGCGTCAAATAGCCATAGTAAAAGGAATCTGCGGTTATAAAAATTATGGCAGATATTGCACCAAAGAAGCACAAGGTGAAGATTCTGTAGTGAAAATGCGACCAGTCAACCGCTTTTGATCCCATGCCTCGGTGTAACCAGGAAAAGAGGGCTGGTGCTGCAAAGCCAACAAAGGTGGGACGGTTGAAAATGCCTGCGACGGTGACAAATGCAATCGTTGCACAGTGGCGTACGGTGTGGCTAGGCAAAGAGCTTCTTAAGCGCGCCAATTTGGCTCTTTCAACAGGGTGCTGTCGGCCTAGTGACTCATATTTTTCAATTATCAGGTCCTCTCTCCAAATCACCTAAAAAATAATTAAAATTAAATTTTGACAGGGATTGCCAAAAGTTATTTCACCTCATCAGAATGGTGCATACTATCCAAGACAAGGCTCAGTAGCACCGAGAGGAGGATCATCTCGAAGGTGTTAGAAAATGTCCTAGTGCCAAAAATCAGGGCACAATAAGAACTGGCAAACACTACCAGCCTGGACGAGTAGTTCTGGCCGTAAGAATGGCACATATGCCATAGACAAAAGTCACAGATGAGTGAGAGACAACACATGACCAGTCTTGGAAGGACCATCAGAATGTACGGAGTCACAAGGTTAACGCCAAAGAAATTTTCTGTGAATATACTAATCCACTTCAGGATCTCCAAGGGTATCCCAATGGTCGTGAACGGAAGGGCAATGCTTCTCAGAGGGAAGGAGGTGTTGAACTCCCATACCCGGTTCACATCCAGCTCAAAAATGTCACCTAATTTAATAATAAATTTTAATGAATTAAAAAATATAATAATCCATACCAGCAACAATTTCGACGGATTGAAAAAACTCATCAGGCTGGACGTAGCCATTCTGAGGCAGGATGGTGAGGAAAAACCTCAAGGCTACAAGTAACCAATAAGTTCTCAACTTTAGATTTGAAGGGTGGTTGTTTTCCTCCATCTGAGGTATCTCTTCGTTATATTTTCCTTTTTTCTTCTCATTTCGAGCCGTTTCTTTGTTGCTCATTTTTATGAATTTTTTTCTTCCTCTTTTGTGTCCAGAAAGCAGGAACCAAAACCGCCTGACGAGTTCAAAGTTCAAACTATAGTTGTAATTCCATGCTGAAATGCAAATTTTCAAAAATTAACGAAAGTTTTACACTTCTTAAAAAAATAGCAATATGTATTTTGGAAAATCCACGCCCAAAATATCAATGAAGTCGCTGAGTGAGAAGGTAAAATTGGTCATAAATTTGCGGACTTTGTTTTATTTCAACTTGTTATTGCGTCAGATCACTTACTTATTAGGCATGGCAGTTACTTCACATCTTGAATAAAGTACCAGCACTCAATTACCATTACAAATTTCGTCAGAAAAGTCGGCACGGGCGTTGATATTGATCCGCATAAACAAAAATTGAATTTTCCGCCCACCACCCGTCCTCCCGCAGCTGTTTTCGCATCAACAATGCGGATACTCGGACCAATCAGAAGTCTCAACGTAGTGATGTCTCTCTCTGATTGGCCCAATGGTTGGAATCCACGTTCCACGTCCTTACGCATCTGGTGCTGGATTTTGCCTGCATGTCATGAAATTTCTTATTCAATGTACAATCTTTCGCTAATTTAGGCGGAGTTCGTTCACAAGTTTCAATCCTGAACATCTCTCCTTAGTGTTTTATTAGGTAAGAAATAAATTTGTTCAATTTAAGGCCTACAATCAGTGAATTCGCGTCAACTTTTCGGTCAACACGACCAATGCGGTTTCTTCCGCATCACCAACAATCGCTCCCCGTGTATTCATTTTCAGTTTTTTTTGCGAGTGTTTTATTTTCTAACAAATGGAGCACTATTACTTCCATCACTTAGAAAAAATTATAAACATGTAGTTTCAGTAATGAAAATTATGCAATATATAATTTATCATAAATTTTTCTTCAGTAATTTTATAATTTTTCTTTATATTTTTGCATTAATTCATTCTATTTTTTCAGATCATTCAAAATGGGACGGTGGCTTTGGATAGCGTTAGCTGTCCTTTTTAGTTGCATTTTACATGCCCATTCGATTGCTGTGATGAGCGTAGACATTGGAGGAGAATGGATCAAAGTTGGAATTGTTTCGGTAATTAATATTTTATATAGTTATACACATTCATTTTTTTTCTAATAAAAACTATAGCCCGGCATCCCTATGGAAATTGTTCTGAACAAGGAGTCCAAAAGAAAAACACCAGCAGCGATTGCATTTCGAAACGGCGAGCGCCTCTTCGGTGAGGACGCTCTTAATTTGGGGGTCAGGTTCCCCCAAAACACTTACAGCTACATTCTGCCTTTACTGGGTCAAAAGGTCAACAGCTCAGTTGTGCAGAGATTCAAGACGCAATTTCCCTATTACAAGATTGAAGAGGACCCAGAGAGGGGAACTGTTGTCTTTAGGCATGACGAGTATGAAATCCCAATGTCCTCCATCACCTTTAAAAAAATATTATATGTTTAATGTTTTTTAGTGAAACTCGATTTACTCCGGAAGAACTGATTGCTATGATGCTTCAACAGTGCAAGAGAGATGCTGAAGCTGCTGTCGACCAAGCAGTAACTGAGGTAGTGTTGACTGTGCCGGCTTACTTCGGACAAACTTCGAGGAGAGCTTATCTTTCTGCGGCTCAACTGGCTGGTCTTAAGCCTCTTCAACTCATTAACGATTACATGGCTGGTAAAATATTTGCTTTTTTGCTGCTGGTTTATGGAAAATAAATTTTTTTCCATCTCTTCCTCAGTGGCTATCAACTATGGAATATTCAGAAGAAAAGACTTCAATGAGAGCGCACAGAATGTGATATTCTACGACATGGGTGCCACAAGTACAGTGGCTTCTGTGATCAGTTATTCGATTGGAAAAGGCAGGGACGCTGATCCTCAAGCTACTGTTCTTGGTGTTAGGTAAGAAAATTTTGTGTTAAGGTCAGCAAAAGTAGAAAATTTAAATTCTATTTAAGTGTTGACCGGACTCTTGGAGGTTTGGAGATGCAACTCCGGCTGAGAGACTACCTTGGCAAAAAGTTTAACGAAATGAAGAAGACTCCAAATGACGTTTTCAAGAATCCCAGGGCACTGGCCAAGCTTTTCAAAGAGGCTGGCAGGGTTAAAAACGTTCTTAGTGCTAACAACGATCATTATGCTCAAGTAAAATTTACATCAATATAAATTTTACAAAAATTTAATCAAAAAACTTAGGTGGAAGGTCTTCTTGACGAACAAGATTTTAAATTGCAAGTCACAAGAGAGCAATTCGAAGAGCTTTGCACTGACCTCTTTGCGAGATCTGGTACTCCTATCACTGCCGCCCTCGAAATAGCTGGACTTACAATGGAAAGTATCAGCCAGGTGGTGTTAGTTGGTGCAGGTACTAGAGTTCCCAAGGTACAGGATGCACTGACTAAAGCCACGGGTGTTACCCTGAGCAAAAATATAAACGCTGATGAAGCAGCTGCCATGGGTGCTGTTTACAAGGCTGCTGACCTCAGTTCAGGATTCAAAGTCAAGAGATTTGTGACCAAAGATGCCGTGATTTACCCTATTCAGGTAGATAATAAAACCTTCATATGTTTCCTTATTCATTTTGTATCCATTAATAGGTTGTATTTGAGAGGAAAGTTGATACAGAGGGTACCCCAGAAAATCCTGTCTACAAAACAGTCAAGAGAACACTCTTTGGCCGAATGAATCCGTACCCTCAGAAGAAGGTCTTGACCTTCAACAAGAACTCTGAAGATTTTTCCTTTAACGTGAACTACGCTGAACTGGATTACCTCAAGAAAGAGGACATTGAGTAGGTTTTTCCAATAATTTTTTTTATGAAATTCTAAATTAATGTACAATTTTAGTGCATTGGGTTCTCTCAGTCTGAGTCAAGTAGCATTGAGTGGAATTGTTGCTGCTCTAGAGAAGAACAATGGCCCCAATGTGGAGGCCAAGGGAGTCAAAGCTCATTTCAACATGGACGAGAGTGGAATTTTGCAGCTAGTGAGTGCGGAGCTGAGCTTTGAGAAGACCATTACTGCTGAGGAGGAAAAAGCTCAAAAAGAAGAGGATGATGTTGATTCCACTCTGTCGAAACTTGGAAACACCATCAGCAAACTGTTCTCAAGTGATGAGCAAAAAGCAGACTCGGCCTCAGAAGAGAAGGTGGAGGAAGCCGATCCAAGTACGACCACTACTCCAGCACCCTCTTCTAAAAGTGAGAAAAACGAAACTGCGCCTTCAGAAGCACCTAAGCCAAAAGTCACCATCATAAAGGAAACTTTGAAGATCAACGAAGAAAAGCTCGATCTGGTTGATCTTGATGGTAACCAGTTTGCCAGTTCAAAATCAAAGTAAGCTAGTTTTGGAATATTGTTGCATTTTTTTTTTTTTAATTTTACTTTTCCTAGACTAACCGCATTGGATGAAATTGACGAGAAGAGAAAGCGTCATGAGGGAGCTCTCAATGCTCTCGAGAGTTTCATCTTGGACTCGAGGATGCGTCTTGAGACCGAGGAGTTTATTGCAGCTGGCAGTGAATCAGAACGGGAAGCACTGAGCTCTGCTTTGAGCAAGGCAGCTGACTGGCTCGAAGAAGAAGGTTTCACTGCGGAAACTGAAGATTTGGAAAAGCAGTTGAAGACATTGCATGATAGTGCAAAAGCAATGTTGAGGAGAGTCGATGAGCACCGCAACCGACCGGAAGCGTTGGCTGCCCTAGAAAAGACTATCGAAGGCAGTCAGAAATTCCTTGCTATGGCAGAAAACCAAACCAAAAATGCTCCAGAAGAAGAACGCATTTTTACAGAAATCGAAGTTACTACCCTCAAGAAGGCAATCAAAGACACTGAGGTAATAAAAATTAAAAATAATGAAATGTTAATGTACTCTTAAAATAATTTTTAGGAATGGAAAACCAAGAAAGTGGAAGAGCAGGCTGCACTTCCTTTATCTGAAAATCCAAAGCTCACTGTGAGAGCCATTGTCGAGAAGATGACTTCCCTTGATAGAGAGGTGAAGTATCTGGTGAACAAAGCCAAAAACTGGAGACCCCCTAAGAAACCTAAGGATGACAAAAAAGGTTAGTATTTTCGTTCTATAATAAATTTAAAAAATTTTCGTCGATAATTTCAGGTGAAAAGAATGCAACTGAGTCTGCAGAATCTGAGAAAGTTTTGGATGATGGTGTGAAAGTCGAAGTCAACGACACAAAGCCTGCTGAAGATACAAAAGAGAAAGAGGAACCCAAAGAGACTGAACCTGTTCTTGAATTGGACGGAGCGGTTTCAGACGAGCCTACACTCCAGGAATCGGAAAGCAAGGAAGAAGAAAGCAAGCAGGAGAAAGGTCAGTTTTATTTTTACTATAAACAGAAAGTAAACATTCATTATGCCATGAACCGCGTGGCCAGAATTGCAAAGTGCGTACAGCAAATCCGCGGGCCACAAATTTTATTGCTCGACAAAACTGTTGCAGGAGAACCGTCATGGTTAACTTCCGCTCTCATAGTCACTACAATACACATCCTTTTTCAATTGGCCTCTGATTACATACTACCCTGACCCTTTTTGTAACATAATGTTCCTCTAGGTTTGTTACCATTTATTTCCTCGGGGATACTAACAGCTACATAATAAGACTGGTATCATTTTTAATGTGTGAAACCCCCTAACCTGGCCAAATTTAATTGAGCTTCATAGTTATCATTAGTTTTTTAAAACCAAACATATAACTAATAAATTGACGTGCTTATTATTATTTTGCAGATTCTCAAAAGACTCCCAAAGAGGAGTTGTAAACTCGACTGCCTGTGAAGCTGTGCTCGTCCTTAAGTCTCAATGACGCACACGTCGACCCTCCAAAACACAATTATTATATACTTACTTACGCCCCCATCCCCTAATCATGTTCGATTATCATCTCAACCTGTGAAAGCGGCCCATCGTTTTGTGACGGCCATTCAATTGCACAGTGCCTGCGTGCCCCGTTTGCAGACAAGAAAGTGTGTGTTATTGTTGTTATCTCTGGCAAAAAAAAATGTGTGGGTGTGATCGTAACCATTGGGACTCTCATTCCATGATAACAGTTGCAAATTAAGGAGCATTCCTTACAATGTATTTTCCCCCAGCAACCGAATCAATCCCTGTACTTGTTACACTGTTTTATTTCATAGAGGTGGGGCTATATGTTGGTTGATATGAGCTGGTAAATGTGAAAGGAGTGTGTGGGAAGAATGTTTACAATAAAATATTTATTTGACATTCGTTAAAAGTGGGTGCTTAAATTATTTCAACACAAGAATACACAATTTCAGTGTCTTTATTCTTCAATTAATTAAAATGGCATACACTCTTGCTCTGACTGGAAAACTCAAATTTAGTTGTTGGCGCCTACTTTTTGCAGATCAATTTTCTCAGCTAATGTACGTAGGTCCAATCAAAAAATACTATTCATTGTAAAAAGTTGAGCCACAGTATTATTTTTTTCCATTCCAATGTTTTTGCAAACAAGACAAATCAAACGTAAAGTTGACATCAAAATGCAAACAGCTCAACACAGGAATACAGCTGACGGTGCCTTGTCTTAACTGAGTGAAATCCTAACAATTAATTAACAATAGCGGATTCACAGCCATATTTGAAATTAAGGTTTAAGGTTTCAATTTTACAAACTACGTGGTAAACGACACGTTCCGACTTAGGTGACTGGACGTCAATTTTCACGTAGGGAAACAATACAACAAACTAAAAGCAATTTAAAAATTCACCACTGACGCAAACACGCAAAATTTACCGCACGCGCTTCACTTATCATAATTGCTGTAGACATAAAAAAAAAATGCACACTGTTTTCTCAGAGAATTCGTATTGAATATTGATAGAAGTTTTTGTCGGGAACATGGCACTGCGATTCGAGGTACGCTTGCCGCCGCGAAAGTTTGTGGAGATTTCACAAGCGCGGCTCAATGGAAAAGCTCCAAAAGTTAAAAACAACAGGAAAGGGAAGAAATAAGTATAAAGATACTCAACAAGAAAGAAGTGAGATTTAATTTTCCTTTTCTAAATCAATAATATAGGCACCGCAGAAAAGTTACAATCAAATTAATTTTCCAGAGTCTTATTTTAATCAAATTCATTTGAATCTCTGCTGTCCAGCATATCCAGAAACTGTTAGTCATTTTTTTTTTTAAACAAAATCACGAAAAATTGTTAACATCAATGAGCGAGCTTAAAATGGAAATAGTAATCAGAGAGGAAAGGCGCCTTTGATGTTAAGCTCGAATAAAAATTAAACAGCTCATTATAAAGTTCTTCACACTTCTATTATCACACAACACTCTCATCATTGGACTTGGGCGTCTGACGGCGCGGCTCGAATACTAGGCCAGCCGGAGCCGCGGCTGCCATCGTGTTTGGCAGGCTGTAGACGTTCTTCCTGAGCGACGTTTGACTGGCGTTGGCCGAGTGACTGCCCTTGAGGCCGTTGCCGTTCAGGATTCCGACTAGCCAAGACTTGAGAGATCCGCGGTGATTGACTTTGTGCGCGCTAAGACCAGGCGCATCCATGGCCAGGTCATCGACGGGCAACTCGTGCCCTTCAAGGGAGCGCCAGCGCTTGGGTGGAATGAGCGGGGTGCCCTCTTCGGAACAGGCTGACTCGTTGCTCTCGTGCTTGCTGAGTCGGCCGTTGGGCAACACCGGCGAGGGCGTTGGTGGCACCACCACCGTGACACAGCAGTCCTCGAGCGATTTGGCCTCACGTGGCCGCACTAGACGTTTGGCCGCTTGGCCGCGGATCGAGGGGAACGGGTCAAAGGAGCGTGACACAGTTGGAGCAGTGCTGAGATCGAGCGGGCATGTGACCACTGAAGAGCCGCCGCAGCTGCCCTTGGGCCCGTGATGGCCATTCCCGTCCATTAGTGAAGCGTCCGTCGTGTCATTTAGGGAGACGGTGCGAAACGCTGTCGAACTTGATGGTGATGGTTGCGAGGTTTGTGGCGCCGCGAGACTAGTGCTTACACCCACGCGGCGCCGAACAGGGGTTCCGATGCCACCAGGGTTGCCAAGCACTGAACCCGAATGTCTGCAAAAAAATTAGTAAAACAAAGTTTGAGGTAACTATATTTTTTTTTGCAGTATGAATAAATTTATTCAAATAATAAATAAGGATTTGCCAAAAGCCCTTTAAATTATTCAGGGGAAGTCGGAAGTAGATTTTAATTAAATGTGTGCAACTTGTGAAACACAAAGAGAATGCGGGTTGCCCATTCTATGAAAATAAGGGGTTTCAATCATGTATGAAATCCACCAAAAGTGTTTTCATTGTATTAAACTCGATGTTGGAATTGATTTCATTTTTTGAACTTTGCCTATCAACAAAGATTTAATCTTATTAAATAAAAATACCTTCCAGAGAGTTCCGATCTACAGAATAAGGGTGGAGGTAGATTGTTAGCGTCCACATTTCTCCTTTGAATGGCCAGAGGAGTGGCTGACACTAGCCAGTGTGTGCTGACTGCGCCCTTTCCCTTGAGGAAGACAGGGCCGCGGTCCTCCACCACATAGAGACCCTCGCCCAGTTTGTTCAAGGCGTTTCTGCACTCTTCGCTAATGTGGATGCGCAGCGCTTCGCCGTTGCTCTCCATTCGAGAGGCCGTATTTACTGTGTCACCAAATAGGCAGTAGCGTGGCATTGTCAGGCCCACAACCCCAGCAACAACAGGACCTTTAAGAATGAAGCATTAGAATCCCAGAAAAAATTTCACTTTTACTTTACCTGTGTGAATTCCTATTCGGAGCTTGAGTGTCTCCTGAGGTCGGTGGGCTACCCTGTGACTTTTGACTGCAGCAAGAAGGTCCAGCGCCATTGAAGCAATTTCCCCAGCATGCTTCTCATTTTTTAGAGGCAGTCCGCTGACCTGAAAAAAGCTCCTAGTAGTTTTTTGATCAAGAAAGGATGTATAAAGGATAACGTACCACCATATAAGCGTCCCCAATGGTCTCCACTTTATACACGTCGTACCCTTGGATAATGCTGTCAAAAAGGGTGTAAAGGTCGTTCAAAAAGGTAACCACTTGCAGTGGAGTGCTCTCTGCTGACATGGAGGTGAATCCGACAATATCGCTGAAGTAAATTGTCACAGAGTCATACGACTCTGGCTGAACACCAATGCCCATTGTCAGGTTCCGCGCCACAGGCCTAAAGTTTTTTTTATTCATTAGTTTTCATTGCATGTAGTCAAGCCAAGAAAAAGTGAAAAATAATTAAGGAGGTTTTATCAAAAGCTAGCAGAGGTCTACTATAATGCATGGTAAAAAAAACATATCTGTCAAGTTGACCTGAAATTTTACGTAGGATTCCAATTTTTTCCAAATAAAAACTTACGCTGGTAGCATTCGGTGAAGCAAGTCCTCAGTTTTCTGCTTCTCTTCAAACAGCAGTCTAGTTCTCTCGGACACAAGCTCTTCTAAGTGATTAGCATATTTGACCATCATGTCCATCATTTGGTCAACAATATTGTGGTGCCTAAGTGAAGTAAATTAAAAATTACTTTTTAAATAAAATAATTAAATGCACTCACATTCCCTCCCTCATTTTCTTGAGTTGTTCTCTTATGTTGTGAAAATCAGGTCTGTTTTCTGGCTGCTCCTGCCAGCAAGCAGTTATGCAGTTAGTAACATAATCTGGACATCCAGTGTCTGTATCATAGGTTATCGAAAGGTCTGGTCTGAATGGCTCTTTTTTTGGCCCATAACGACCCTCCTTTACCCTCCGTATTATTTCTGTGGCAAAAAAGTTAGACCTTTTGGCTTGACAGAAAAAAAAAATGAGCAAATACCTTTAGGATCTTCAGTACAAGGACCGAATGGCCCTCGGCGGCCAATAATTTCATATAAAATAATTCCAAATGAATACACATCACCCTTCTGGCTGATTTTTGTGGATGGATTTACACCACGCAATAGCTCGGGCGCTTTCCAAAATAAATCTGAAAGGTTGTTTAAAATAAATAGCTTAAAATATATTATGTACTGTGACGCACTTCTATAGTACTGGTGCTCCCCTACACTCTCATTGTCAGCGTTTTGTCTGAGCTCGTGGAGTCCAAAATCGGCCACCTGTAGTACCCACCTGCTGGTGACTACACAATTGCTGGATTTCAGGTTGCCGTGACAGCCCAAGAGGGAGTTGTGTAAGTATCGCATACCCTAAATTGTTATATTTAAGTAAATAAATTTAAAGGCATAAATATGAGTAACCTTTATCAAATCATGAACCAACGAAGATATGAACATAGAATCTAGTTTGATGTCTTCATTTTCGATTATGTCCTGAAACATTACAACAAATAATCAAAAAGGGAAATAAAATTGTTAGTGCATTGCGCTTATATAAGTGCTAATGCAATTGGAAATTTAAGTCTAATTATAAAAACAAATGAAAATACTGACGTAAAGGCTGCCCTTGGCGCAGTAATCAGTGACGATGAGCACCCGGTTGGGTTCTATGCAGGCGCCAATAAAAGAGTTGACATTGTCATGTCGCAGCTCTCGCAAAAGCCTCATTTCCTTCATCACCTCTCGGGTGACGCAGTCTCTTTTTTTACTGAATACAAGCTCTTTGATGCGCACCACCATATTTCGGTACTGTCCTGTTGAAGCAAACACCTGTGGTCCGCATCGAGATTCAAAAGAGCCGGCCGACATCAGACTCAACTATATCAAGCATTAAAGTCTCTTTTAAACTATTCCAATATTTTAAACAAAAAAATAAATTTGCTAATATATATTAAATAAATTAAACATTAATTACATTTATATCAAAATATTATAAAGTATATTTAAATTAATAAATATATTATTTTATTGTGAATACATTGTAAATACAATGAAATACTAAAAATGATGATATCACATAATGGAAGAAAAAATTTGTTAGCTTACCTTGCTAGGAGGAGAGACAATGTCTCCACTGTAGCTGTGCAGCTCTGTAGGGTGGATTTTCCACAACAGACCTTCAATCTCCTGCTCAATTTTCCACTTTCGATAAATGCTGGCAGTGATGACTGTAGCGCAAAAGAGGAGAACACCCAATGTGCCAGCAGCAACCACACTTTGATCATGGCTGTTCACTCGTGGACACTTGCTATTATCAAAGCCGCAACTTGGTTCGTCCATTGGTTTTGTATTTCCAGGCCATTGAATATGCCTTATAACTTTGTAATCCTGAAAAGATATAAAGAATAAATAGACAGGCAGAAATTTTAAATTTGTTTTGGAGGCATTTAATATCCCGTCGTATGTACAAATAATAAGTTGATCAAGTTCTTTTTTTATTCTTACCAATGTGTCATTTTTTGCACCGTGCTCAAATTTAGCCACAGGCAGCATATGGAATGGGCAGCTGAAGTTTGTGTGCTCAGTCAAATTGTAGTTTTGAAGGCCGATTACTGAAAAGTTGCCCTCCGAGTTTCCCGCCTCATCCCACTTAATCAGGGAGCCAGTGATACCTTCAAGAACATAAGATTATAATTTTGGTTTCCTAAATCACAAAATTTTGAAATCTCACTCTGATAACTGCCGTTCTTAAGGATGGTCTCAATAATCCTCGTTCCGTTGCTGGCCAGCTCCAACACCTTTTCATTTGTCGGCCAGATCTGACTTTCAGGCAAAGAGCTAATTTTGGCCGCGTATGCTATTTCATTACTAATCAGTTTGTGCAGCGAGTTGGCGTACAGCATGACGGCATCATAGAGGTATGCAGCAAAAATTGGAATGTGCTAAAAAATTATTAGTGCTTCTTTTAATACATTCATATTATTGTTAGTAAAAAATAATACGCACTGTTTTGAAATTCCCAAAAATGGTAGGCATAGAAAAATTAAATGGCTCTTTTGCGTTGTAAACTCGCACAGCGTCAGTAAAATTTGTAAATTGGTTGTCCGGTGGCGTCATCGCCACCACTAACAAAGATTTGGCTCTTTTCTCAAACTCAATATTATTCTGGTTGTGGAAGAAACATGACTGGAGTCTGCTTAGGTAGTCACTCTCTGGAGAAAAATTTCCAAATAAATTATAAATGCAGTTTCAGAAATTATTAACGCAGTCAAAAATAAAAATAATAAACAACATTAACATAACAATAATAACTCACTCCAAAGATATTTGACTGCATCCCTGACTGAATAGGTCTCCATGTCAATGTAGATGACCATGTATTCACCGTTGTCAAAAAGCTGAAGCGCTTGCATACCGGTCATCAGGTCAATTAGACTAGGTGAGGTTCCCATGAACACATAAACTTGAAATTTAATAAGATCAATATATTAGAAAGAGAGCCCCAGTTGGTGCTTATTTGTAAATTATAATTTGTGACTTGTACTTACTTCGAGTCTTGTTTCTTGTTTCCTGAATGATTTGGTACCAGATCCCTGCGTGGCAGCACAGCAGTTTCTGAACACAACACTTGTGCCTATCATAGATGGTGCGCTGATGGTTTACAGTGAATTTCTTCTCCTCTGCGCGCTTCTGCAGGGTGAAGGCGAGCTCTTTCCAAGCCTCCTCGTTGATGATGGAAAACTGTCTCCAGTTTAAGTACTCCAACAAGGTCAGCACCGACTTAATGACCTGGAACAAGCAAAATGTTTCTTAATTAATAAATAAGCCAAATTATAGAAAAACCAATTAATTATAATTCCAAATTATTTATTAATTATTATTTAGTGTAGTTGTAAGTTTTTAACAAATTCGAACAAATTAAGTAAAAAAAAAATCAGAGGGAAAACTATTAGTAATTACCTGAGAGTTTGGGGGGTCGATTCTAAGCAAAGTTGGGTTTGCTTTGCTGTCAGCGCATTTCTGGAACAAGCATGATGAAATTTGATTACATGTTTATTAAACAATTTTGTGAGAAATATTTAGGTGTCAAGTGACATTCCTTTTTTTTAATGTGGTGTAATGCTTAGCTTACAACAAAAAATTTTTAAGATGTCAATTGGTACAATGAAGAATCCATCATATCACTTTCTTTAAATATCTCCAATTTTTAAGAATTCCTCTCTTGCTCTCTTTACAGCTTTCTTTTCACGCCCATAGCAATCAAAAGAATAAAATTAAAATGCGTTGTAACTGATGAACGAGAGAAATTCAGCATTTGCTATGTAATACACGATGGCCATTAAGAGAGTAATCAAAATTATTCATTGCTGCTGAAAATCCGCGCCAAATACGTTTAGCAGCCCATAAAATTTTATTGCAGTCACGATTGACACTCCTCAAAAGCTTGATAAAGCGGCGCACAGCTCATGTTGAAATATTGTGCCTCCTTTCGCCGGTTTTTTTTAGTCTCCAAATGGGCTTAATTATAAATTTCAACCATTTCTTCCATCACAATTTTTTAACACTATGCGAGAAAAAGAGAGCACCAGGTCTTTAATTTTTGAGTCACCACTTGATTTTAGGGGACTGGTTTATGTTGGTTTTTGTCACTTAAGAGGAATTAAGATAAAACCACTTGCGACTTTTAAACTTAAAATCCGCTATACGGAAAGGCAAAACCAACGATCGGCCCCTCTTCACTTTTAATTCATAATACGAACATGAGCCTGAAGACCCGAAATGCGAGCAATTAATTTGCCTTTTTCTGAGGGGCAAGTTGCGGTTGCGTTGAAATGTGGACGGACGAGATAACCACTGAAGTGCAGACCGACGCTATTTTTAGCGCAAGCAGCCTTGATTTCTTCCATTCACACACGTGGAAATAGTCACGGGCTTTGCCAAAAGCACGATCAAAATTTGATAAATGTGCAACCGCGACAACCTGTTTTCCATTTCAATGACAAAAATATCTCTATATTCGACCACACGCAACACAAAAGACTTGTTGTTGACTGTTGATTTTTTAAGGCGAGGTGGGACATTACAATGCTATGTGGCGTGTTCCGCGTTTTAATACAAAAAAGCTATATTTGCAGGGCAGATTTTTATATTGAAGTTCTTAGAAGTTTACAGTTAATTCACTTTATTCGTGAAAATAGAATGAACTGTTTATCAATCTGTTTTCAACTTCACTGCGCAAATATAAAGTGTCTGAAGTGACTATAAAAAATTAGTGTTGTAATATTTTTTCTAATAATTTTAATACTTTATTCATTGAATTTTTAAAATCAAACAATATGTTATAAACCATAAATAATAAAATATTTAACAACTTTTATTTAATTAGAATTTGAAAAAGAATAAATAATAATGATAAATTAAATTGCCTGCAAAGTAACAAAATAATAAATTGTTTATGTACAATTTTTTTTTTAATATGCTAGATTAAGGTATTCAACTTTTTAATCAATAATAAAAGAGATAAGTAAATAAGTTTTTCAAAGCAAAATACTTGCATAAATAACAACCATTGGGAGCTATTACTAGATCAGACCGTGCGTGCCGTTTAGTATTAAAACGGCTGCACGGTGCGTTGACAAATCAATGACATGTGTGCTAAGTCAGCCGATAAAATTGTGTTTGCCTCTTCCATCCCTCTGCAAATTGGTACCCGCGAGCCAATTTTCCGCGCTACCATCGGCTCGATACGCGCGCAGTGGGCGCATTTGCTTCGCTTGCTTTAATAGGATTACAACTCAAACTCAGGCGACGGACTAATTAAAAGAGCGCTGATTGGCAGAAAAAGTGAGTGAGCTCCTTGTTAGTTGGCTGATCGAAAATGTTTGTCAAACGAATGTGCGCTGACCCGAGAGGACGACAAAGGTCGACGGTCGTTTGGACGAGCCGAAGGTCAATTTGCCGGCGGTCACACACTCCGATTAAATTATTATTTCCATTGGACATAATGAGATGAATCCCCATTGATCCGGTGACACAATGCAAACACTCCAACGCAAATCTTCCACTGCCGTCACCTCACAATCAACGAACGGACGCGTATTTTGCCTTATGTGATGCAGAAGTGTCCTTTGTGTGCTTTTATAATAAAATAGTTTGAATGTTCCGACTTCGTGCTTCAACTAGTGCGATTTTCTGCGGAATACAATAAATGACAAATCGCAGTTTACTAATCAAGCTGCAGAGTCGATTCATCACTTCAGAACGTGCAATTACTGCAAAGCGACTTTCATGAAATGGAATACAAAGTGTATTTGCACTGCACAGTTTTGGGAGATTGCCATGCGAGATCCCTACAAACTTATGTTTTGTGAGAGCTTCATGCAAATTCGTCACACAAGGAGCCAAATTTTCTTCTTTTAAATTGATGTTCACGATAAAGGCAGTAGTTTTTTACTGCCATGTTCTTTGAAACATTTAATACATCTTAACATATGGGACACAGCTTGTTTCTGCGAAATTTATGCAATTGAGGGCGCTGAAGAAATTCCCTTCAAAAAGCTCCTACATATATGCCTTTTTTAATACAAATTATTGTTGCCAATGTCTTATATTCGTGTCAAAATTCACACATGTGCTTTTTTATTTGTGGAAAACTGGGGAGAAAAAGATGTTAAAAGAATCAGGTTTGCTTATAATAGCGGTACATTACCGCAGAAGTTATTTATAGCATGAGGGAAAATTAAAGGCACAAAAAATGAACTTTTGACTCAATTTATTTTGAAAGTTTGAGCTGAAAGTTGTTCAACGCTCAAAACAACTTCCAGGGTGACTTAGCTATTGAATGCGCTATATATCTTTGTTGGCCTGCGGTTCCGAGGAAATTTGCCTTCCAAATCCAAAGTTAATTTTTGAAATGTTCAACATACCAAATTTGAATGACTTTCATCCCACGCAAGCGTAGCCCAGACTTTGCCAAACAACCATTTCCGCAGTTTGCAAAGGAGCGAATTTGTGCTGCTAAGTAAGACATCTTACAAGCGGAAAGCAACGCTTTGAGATGAAATAATTAATTTTCTGCTTATTCAACAACACATATAATAAGGGCTCGCGCGATTTCTCCTTTGAGTAACATAGGATTATGCAAAGCAAAGTTTTATATTAATAGTTAGAATTTTTCAATTGAAAATTATGACAATCTATACTGAATTCAAATTTTAAGTTATAAATAATTGAGTCTAACATATTTTTTTTCTATCTAGTCTTTCTTAAAATAACTTCTTCTATAGAGCTCATGCCATTGTAAAATTTGCACTCTCATCTGACTATTCTACAATTTTCTGGTCTTCTCTTAATGTAAGCAGAAATATCAATTAAAGCTTTACTAAAATTGAAGTAGCCTGGACACTTGGAGCTGTCGCTTGTTGCCATTATAATATTTCACCACTCCCATCATTAAATGAGTTAAGCACAATCGGCCAGTTTCTATTCTGCAAACCTCAGAGCGATACAATCAAGCAGGAAAGCACGTTCCACGTACGGGTGCTCAAGGCCCATGGAGTACTCTAGAGCGTGCCCTCAAAAAATCACACCCACGCACGCCAACGAGCTGGCAACAGTATATTTAATTACACACGCACGCGTATTCTTTTGCCACTAAAAGTTCACACTTCGCTTTGCTAACCATTCTGCTCCCAAACATGAAATAAATAATAACAAAACGCAAAAATTTTAATCACGGTTGGCCTGGGTTATGAAGTTAATAGATATCAAACAAAATGGAAAGGTTTTGATCGAAAAGTTAGAGAGAGTTCTGTGGAAAAATTTAATCGACGGGCCTGCCCGTCTGGAACTTTTTAAGACACAGTTTGCTTTGTGCATAAATCATTTATAGGCCACAGTAAGCAGTTTTTGTTTTGATTTCAATTGGCAAACTTACCGTCGGTGAAAGTCATTGTACGAGGTTCTATTTATAGAATGGAATGACCAATATGTAAAAGTAGCATTTTATACATTTTGATCACAAAGCACTTTATTAGCGCCGACACATTTCGCTGCGGTCATCAAGTTTGCTCAGGCGTAGTGCTCACCGACTCCTTTTCTCTCTCTAGAAAGAGACTTGCAAATTTTAACCACAATCGGTCTTTTGATGAATAAATTGAAACTTTTCTTCTGTTTGAATAGCATTTTGCTGTGCTTTCCAGTAAGAGAGTATTCTTGTTTATTCTTCATTGCCATTCAATTTCAGAAATAAATTTACATCTTAAAATATGAAATTTTTTAAAACCTTTCCCAGAAGATGATTTATTTAAGACTGTCGCAAAAAAATATGCAACGCATTAAGGCTTCACCCAAAATATAAATGGCAAATTACAGCTCTACTGTTAGTTTTGAAGATAATTAAAAATCTTACATTCGCATTATATCATTAACGATTTGCAGCTTATTGCCGTGTTCAATAAAAATTCCAAGATAACAAACTTTCACAAGAATAACTCTCACTCAGGCTGCCTGATTATTGTAGCTATATCCATTCTTATCATATAAATCCCAGTGTAATTTAAAGTCAGTTTGAAGGCATGCAAATTTATATTATACACTATTCAAATAGAGAACCAAATTTCTTATTAATTAATTTTGTTTATATTTTGACAAACTGTTTCACCCCATATTTAAGAAATTTTAAATATATTAAATAAGGATATTGTCTGTATTAAAAATTTGCATTCTCAGCTTCTCAGCAACAATAAATGAATAAAACAAATACATATCATTGTAGGCTAAAATTATGTTTCTAGATATACATCAAAGATTCATGATAGATTAAAACACGCCGCAGATCAGAAAAATTTTAGCGGCAGATTATAACTTAAGTACCACTCAACAGTTTCAACCTTTTTATAGGAACATTTGACGAGATAAAGTTGAAAGCAAAAGATAGATTTTTCGCTTCGTTTGGTTGTAAAAATAGCAACGGGCCACTATTTATAAAAGCGATACAAAAGTTGTCCAGCAGGTTGAGATGTTGGAAAAAATCAGCCCCTGCAAGACGAGGCCAAAAATAGAACCTGACAACAGGTTTTAGAATGGACTGCGCGTCAAGATGTGTTCAGAATATATACAACCTGTTTTTTTAACTATAAATTTCACAAGGAACTGACGGAGTCATTTGTGAAGGAAAGAAAAATGGAGGACATTTTGGCAAGCCGTGCAAAACTGTACGTGTAACGAAGGAGAACATAAATTGTTTCCAACTGCTATTTCTGTCTGAGAATAAACGATGTAGTGAAAAGGTTTAGGGACCTAACACAGCGTTAGTAAAATTTTATTATGACTACCAATTAAAGCATCAAGACATAAATTCTAGAAGATTGGATTAGCTAAGCAAATATATAATAATAGACCATTTAATAACGAGATAAAAAAAATCATCTGCCTATCTCGGCGAGTCTTGAAATCTCCTTGTTTTCATCGAGATAAAACTATGTGTGTATACCTTTATTTAAAAATTTTGAAACAACATTTTACTCCACTAATTATATTTCCTATTATTTATTCCATGAACTTTTTCTGCAAGAAAATTTTTTCAAAGTTTTCAGTGCAATTAAAGCGATTCATATTTAGAAGCAAAGAAGTTAATCAATATCCTCTGCACAAGGAAAACGTTAATAAGGTCCTCCCAAACAGGTTGACAATAAATTCTGACCTTGAGTGCAAAGCGTAAAATTACAAGTATACACTGCTCTAAATTTATACTTCGCGTTGCAGATGGACATTTTCACAGGCCCTGCAAACGCCATGTTCCTAATTAACGGACTGCCCTCGGTATTGTTGATTCCAAAATTTAAGTTTAATTATTAGGAAAATAATAATAATTTAAAGGTAAAGCAGCCAATTTCATTGCTAAAATAAAAGTGGGAAAAACGATAAAAAGATCAGCTTTTCACTGGAACGCGTAGGATCTCGGCCGCCCACACGGATTTTTTTACTTCAGCTTGCCAAAATAGTTATTTTTTTTTATCAGCTCTGCGCTCTGTGCATGAATAATAATGATATAAAGTTCTGAGCGAGTGTGACCTCTTGGAAGCAAATAATTCAGCATTTCGCAAATCTCATGCGTTTGAATCAATTAGTATGCGGGCTGAAAGAGTAAGTGGGGCGAGACTGCAATTCACTTTTACGATTATGGCCTAATGTGGTTAAAAATAAATAATACATATGGGTTATTTTTTTCCTCTGGCTCTTTTTAGCTGACGGGTCAACGATTTCGCGTCACTATCAAAATGATCTTTCCCACGCCGACAAAAATAAACGCAATAAGTTCAGTTGGGTTGACGGACTCCGAGAATGGAATTTGACGGTGAAATTTGAGATTTTTATCCTTTTCAGCGGAATGTGCCAAGAGGTGTTTGTTCATTGAAGTGATTAATTTTTTGTGAAGACCACAGGCTTGGTTTAATCTCAAAGTAAATTTTAAGCCACTCACCATATCTTATTAATTATTATTAAGTCGACTGCATGATGAAATGAGAGCAAGTATTTTGCGGTTAACCTTTGCTCCAAGAAGCTTGGTCGATGGATTATTGGGCGCTATTTTAAAACTCAATTTGGGGAACCTTTCTTCCAATACACATTAATTTTTTTTTTTTCAGTACTCACGTGTGAAAACATGGGGATGTTCATTGCTTGACTGACGGTGGCCTCGACGATGCAAGAAGAAGCTTCCGGGCCAAAGATAGCCTTGGTGTCCTCTGTGATCATGTGGATGAGAGCTTTGGTGGCGGGCACCGTTTTGCTGTTGGTGTCATTGTAGCGCATCAGCAGATCTACCCAAGGTAAAGTGACGTTTGAAGTGTTGATCTGATCTAGAGCGTAAGTTATGGCACCGCTGATAGTTAAACCCTGCAAAAATAAATATATTTTATAAGTTTCAATCTATATAATACTGCATATTTATTTAGAATTGTATTGGTTTCATTAACTGTTACAACTCCTCTTATAATTTATCTATGTATTTTATTTTCTTATGAATCAATTACAAAACTCTTCATAAATAATTATTCAAAATCTTTTTTTTTAAGGGAACATAATATGATAACATGAATCTAATCAGCAATGAATTAAATTACCATTTTTTGAATATAAAATCCGCAAGATAAAATATTTCAAAGTCATGTAGCAAACTTGAAAAGTTTTCAACATCTTTTTTTAGTTACTTACATATTATAATTCTCATAATTCTATCTGCATGTCAAATACAGATTCAGTTAATTTATTATTGAATTTAATTGTAATTTGCTATTTTTTTCTGGCAAATGTTTTTGAAAGGTGCTGAAAGTCCGATTTTAAAAGAAAAATTTATGTAAAAAAATAAAAAACAATAATAAACAATTTTCAGTACTTGTCTTTGTTATTTCTTTGTTATTAATATAACTATAAACAAAATTCCAAATGCTGCCAAAATTTACATAAATCTATCTTCTTGAAGAAAAATATTTGGCAATATTTAGTAAATTCATATCAAGTCGGTTTCTTTCCAGTTTATATTCAATTTATAATATCTTTTCATTAAATGACAAGATATTTTGCACTTGAAGTGTGCAATTTGAATTCTGGGTAATTTGAATAAATTAGCAATGATGAAAAATTAAACAGAAAGATAATTAAAAAATAGAAACAAATAGGTTATATTATAGGAAATAAAAGGACTTACCATTTTTAACTTGGCGTCGCCCTTGAGTGAAGGCAGGTATCCAATGGTGATTTTGTGTCGCTGGCGGGATGCGCCCTTGAGCACAAATCCTGGCGGCAGATTCGGAGGGGCGGGTGTGGTCGGTGCCACCACCGCCACAGGGGTCGCGGGCAGGTCATCGGCGAGGGCAGCGATGGGCAGCAGAAAGAGCACCAGCAGGAGGGCGGTGCCAGGCGGGCTCGGGGGCCCACGCGGCATGTCAGGCCCGCCACTGTGCGGGGGCGACGTGCTCACGCTCAGCACGCCCCCGATCCCCGAGAAAGGCGCCGGCTACTTCCGCCGGGGCACATTTCGCCTGAAACAAAAAGCGTATATTTCATCAAATTACGCTCGTAAATTTTTATCGCTGAGCTTTTATATGAAGAACCATTCGGCAAAAGTTTTGCGCCGCTGACAAAAGCAGGATTTATAAATCTAGAGTTGGAAACTTGTTGAATTGCTGCCGAGAGTATTTAGGGGTAAATTGGGCGTGCATCTCCGCGGTTGGCACTCAAAGTTTGGTAATTGAATTTTTGCTTTCAAAGTTTGTAGCAGCATCTGCCGGCCAAAATTGTCTCCTATCTAACTACTTTTTGTCAAAAAGCACGCAAAGACCGATTAATTCCGGGGTGAATTTATGTGCCAACTAAATATTAAATCATCACACAGCAGCTTTGATAAATATTTTTTTTCCACTTAAAATTTAATAATAAAAATGAATATTTGATTAACTTAGTTATTGGTTTCATGCATAGCGGCCTAATAACTTGCGCTGAAAAACTTTCTGTGCAGGAAATTATGTCACATAGCGTAGGATGTCAATTACTTCTACTGCCAAAAATAATGCGCTCCACCATGTGTCACCCACATTGGGAACAGTAAAACAATGAAATAATATAAAAAAAAAATGAAATGAAAATGAATAAAAAAATTACTTTTACATAAAGATGGTATCAACATCTCAGACTTGGCATCCCTCCCACTTTTCCGCTCCCTGCTCCGCTCTCGCTCTTTGAACATTTTTTTTTCTGTATAATACATGACAATAGAAGTCACTTTTCATGTCACCTCCAATTGATCGTGATTAGCACGCCACGGAATTAATTCAAATTAATGCCAACCGATTGGGTAAACTAATGACGTCATGAAAAAAGGTCCTTCGTAATGTGTCGAGAGAATTAAACAGACACCCGACTGACTGTGTGCACTTGGGAATTTAGAACACCGTGTTAATTTTTGCAAATAAACGTGTATGTATAATGTGACAGCATGAGGGCTTGAGAAAAACCAACCAACTGAATGTTATGTAAAAAAATCAGCTGATAAGATCAAAGCTTGCGGGCAAAAACTCTTCACTCACATACATAATAATCCGGTTTAGGAGTTCTAAGCGCAAGCAAATTTTATTGCTGCTCATCATAAAAATCTCCAAGGAAGCTAATTAGGAGTTACGTAACAGAAATTATTATTCGCTAATTGCGAGGAAATATTCTTTCGAACAAAGTCTAGAAGATCTGAAGGACGAGAATAATTTAGTTATGTATATGAAACCTTCGAGAGTGCTGCGCAGCTTCATCTGGATCAAATCAAAAGCGGCTTGGCGGATTCAGCAGGAGATGAGTTTGTCGGCAGCGAAAAGGTGAAAGGCCACCATACAAAAGGGCTGCGGTTGTCAGATCGAGACAGCAGGTAGTTGCTTTTTTGCATCTACCGTCGAGGCCAATTTCGGCACTGTGACAAAGCAGGGAGGAAAAGACGTCCCGCCGTCAGATAACGCACATAAGCAAAAAAAAAAAATCGTTTTTTTGCAAGCAGGGCAGAATAAATGTGTGCGTGTGGGTGCTAAAATGTGTGGCTGTGTGTGCAGCAGTTACAGTGATTCCATCTCGACCTCAACGAGGAAAGGATTGATATTGGAGCAGCCACCGCCATCATCACAACCCTCCCGGGGCGAAGCAGCCGAACGATATTTGGCTTGTCCCAGAGCGACGGAAACATTGGAGCGTAGCCCGGGGCGTTTTTTTATTATGATGATATAGTATCGGTTCGAGAGCACCAAACCGCTCAATGCGCTGCTTTTTTGAGAGACTGGACCAAATTGTCACACTTCTTATTTTGTGAATATGTGAAGCATGGAAAGGGAAGAAATTATTCTTCAATCAGAAGTTTTATATTACATCAGCGTAGTAGCAGTGTATGTTCTATTCTTTAATTGTGACGGAAAAACAAGGGAGAAACAATAAAAAAAAATTGTGTAAATCATCCACATTAGCTTTCAGATTTTAGATTTAACGTTTCCCTTTTATCCAATAAGTCAACAAAAATTAAAATTGGCTTATTAAATTTTAAGGTACCTTAAAAGTGATAGAATTTTTTATGTAAGTAGAATAAATACAAAAGTGAAAGAAATTCATAAATGTATAATAGCACATAAATATATTTATATTTGCAACAATTATGTTGCAATAACAATGTATTAATAATTTAGGTTGGGGCAATATTTTAAATAAATTATTGTTTTAAAAATTTCAATGAATAATTTCTTCAAAATATTGGTAAATAAATAAACCAAAAATTATCTCAATTTAAATGCACATTATTAAACTCTTAGATTTTGATTTCCTGTGTTACTTGTTCAAAAATTAATTTTTAAATAGCACTAAAATTAAATTTAGAATTCAACATTTTGGATTTAAATCATTTTTGTTTTATATACTCAACTTTAACTGCCAGAATTAAGCTGCTTAAAAACGTCGAGCTTTAACCGTGGAAAGACACTCGCAATTGCGCACCCACAATGTTAAGAGTCTAAACACTTATTGCCCGAGATGCCCAAACTACAACTGATGATCAAATATCTGAATTTAATGTAAAAATACCCACTCGGGAAGTGGGAAAGCTGAAAATTTCCACTGCAACGGAAACTCTTTTCACTTTTAGTATGACCGTCCTTGTTCTACTTTCCGGCAAATATAAAATTTGATCTAAATTAGAATTGCGGACGGAAATTGGTATTGCGTCGTGCGATGCAGCGCACGTAGGCTGGAAGTTCATATTTGCAAAAGTAGGTGAATGACAGGTTAAAAATAGAATTATAGAGCGACCAAGGGGAAAAAACAGAATGTGAATTTTCTAAATATTTCAAGGCCCAAAAAGAAAAGTTACAATAACAAAAAATGTCATTGGAGCATTCAATATCTAAATGCAAATACTGGCAAATACTTTCAACATCTTTACAAATTTTTTAAGGTTCAATTACATAACAAATTAAAAGGTTGTATAATAATTTATAACAATTTTCCGGGTGTATAATTTAGTTATTGAAACTTTGAGGTACAAACCTTAAATTTTATATAAAAATTTAAACATTTTATATAGTTTTGATCGGAAATATATGAGAGGAAAATTTTTAATTAAACCGGATTAAATCACTATCAACCTAAGCAAAAGATAGTATACAAAAAAATTATTTTGGCACGCGCAGCTTTATTGTTTGAGGAGCAGCTTCCACTTTCCCGTTTGATTAAAAGACTTCCCAAGCGTGTTTTGATTAAAGCTGGGCGGAAGGATTGCAAGTATATATTGATATTTTGCAATTTGCCCTTTCGCATCTGCACCCCCACGCGCCCTCCCTCCGCAGCATTGAAAGCGAACAAGCAGCAGGGCTGATGTATTAATGGCAGCCGGCACGGCATCGAACAGGGACAAACGCACAAAGCTCGCCACCCAGCATACCACCCATGGTCCTTTTCTGCACACAGGGTGTGGCTATTGGAAAATGCAATGCACTTTGCCCCGCACTGACCCATTGTTTCGCATTACGACCTGTCGCGAAACAGGTGCGCGGTTCACCACCTGCCTGGATTAGTTGATCGATTTGGTCTGGCATTTCGCTTTTGATGAAGACAGATTTAAGCTTGCGATAATATTGCGTTGTATCTTATCTAATGGGAAATCTAGTGCTTCATAGCATCAAATCATTTTCATCTCAAATAGCTGTATAGCAACACAAAGAATATTAAATCCACAATATCTACTGGAATTTATTTAATTATGGAGAAACTATACTAATTTATTTTACATTATAATTTCTATAAATTCATTTTCTAATATTGTAAATAATTCACAAGAGCAATAAAGATGGTATTTTATTTCTTCAAAATTAACTTTTTAGTTATATAAGATTATTGCCACTTTTCAACTTTGAAAAGCGAACAGAACTCTGCGACAAAGACGTTGCTGTAGTTGTGAGCGCACCAGAATTTTAAATACATGCAAATGAGGCCTGGCGCTCTTTGCCAGTCGGTGTCGAAATTGGGCACACCATGTTATTGTAGTTTGGGAGTGATTGCAATTAGTGTCAACTGGCCTTACTTAGTCTAAAATTAGAACTTTAAAATATTACTTAGCATAATTGCTGTCTGCGAATGTATAATTAATTAGCTTAGGATGGTGTTGTGATATGTATAATGCAGTCGTGTCGTCGCTTGCCACCAGCAGCTGGCAAGACCTGTTGCAGTCTCAATAAAGTACTCAAGAAAGCATTGCATACTATACTTGCTGATGGACATGATTTTAGAGCATTACCGTCAAATCAAAAAAATTGCCTACGGCTGAATTATTAAAATGTAATTGTACCGTTTGTTATTTGTATGGTTTTTTCCTAATTACATATGTTCCCTCTATACATTTTTTTTAAATAATGATTCTAATTTAAAGTAAACAAATAATTTTTAAAATAATTCCTGGAAAAGCAGAAACCACGAAGCTAAAATGTTGCGATAAAATTGTTTAAATTAATAAAAAAAATCAATACTGGAACAGTATGGATTGGTTAATTATTTATTTAGTTGATTAAGTAATATTTTTATATTTTAATCAATAAAAAATTTTGCCATAGGTTTGTGTATAACGTTAAAAAGTCTTCTCCATTAATTTTATGAACCAGAAAATTTAAGACCATCATGAATGGAGGACTTAATTTTTTTTTATGCAGTAATAGTATAAGGATAAGAGGGGGGGGGGGACGTTTTTGGGATCACGTAGCTGGAAAACAAAACAAAAGTCACAAGTCGCTACAATGGAAACAAGTTGACAATTGGAAAGAAACCACCAATTTTACATAGCGGAAGGAAATGTACCAGCAAATAAATTTAGATACATTTGAGATGAAATGACCTTAAGACATCTTGTTTTTGTCATTCTTTTCATTGTTTAAGATCAAAGGATTGCATCATATTGACAAGAAGACGCGCACATTCAGAAGAAATATTCTAAACCTAACAATATCAATTTCCAAGTGATCGTCTCTCGCAA